TGATATGAGGAAATATGCTTTGAAAGCCTGAAGGTGGTCATTGGATTTTTGGGGCCTGTATGTGGAGAGGCTGCCAAAAAGTCTCTCACATGTGGTATCTCCAAACTCATTAGAAGTGGCAGCATGTGTTTTGGGGTGTTATTCCACATATACCCATGGTGTGTGTGAACAACATATCATTTAATTGACAACTTTGTGTAGAAAAAATACATAAACACGTTTTCAGTCATTTTCCAAACATTTGTTGGAAAATAAAATCTTCCATGGACTCAACATACTTCTCTTAAAATTCCTTGTGGTGTCTACTTTCCAAAAAGGGATCATTTGGGGGGGGTGTTTGTACAATCCTGGCATTTTAGGGCCTCCGAAACTGTGATAAGTAGTGGGGAAGTGATATGAGGAAATATTCCCTTAGAAAGCCTGAAGATGATTATTGGATTTTGGGGCCCTGTATGAGGATAGGCCAGCAATGGGCAAACTACGGCCCGCGGGCCGTATACAGCCTGGCGGACCTTTTAATCCGGCCCGCGGATGTGGCTGTCAGGATGTGTGTGTGTAGGTGGGGCAGCGTGACGAACGTGAGGGGGGGGGCTAGGCTCCTCTCACAATCCGCCCTGAAGACCGGAACAGCGCCAGAACACGGCGAGAGTAACGCGCGGAGCAAAGGTAAGTGAATTGACACAGGGGGGACTTGGCTTACTACTTGGGGGGGAATAGTACTGTGAGGGATGAATTAATATGGGGGATGAATTAATATGGGGAATGAATTACTATATGGGGGATGAATTACTATGGGGGATGAATTACTATAGGGGGGATGAATTACTATGGGGGATGAATTACTATGGGGGATGAATTACTATATGGGGGATGAATTACTATGGGGGATGAATTACTATGGGGGATGAATTACTATATGGGGGATGAATTACTATAGGGGGGATGAATTACTATAGGGGGGATGAATTACTATGGGGGATGAATTACTATGGGGGATGAATTACTATATGGGGGATGAATTACTATGGGGGATGAATTACTATAGGGGGGATGAATTACTATATGGGGGGATGAATTACTATGGGGGATGAATTACTATGGGGGATGAATTACTATATGGGGGATGAATTACTATATGGGGGATGAATTACTATATGGGGGATGAATTACTATAGGGGGGATGAATTACTATATGGGGGATGAATTACTATGGGGGATGAATTACTATATGGGGGATGAGTTACTATATGGGGGATGAATTACTATATGGGGGATTAATTACTATGCTTACTATGGGGGAATATTACTATACTTACTATGGATGACACATACACATCATTCATCTACTCTTGGTCCGGCCCCCGGGTCCAATATATGAACCCATTGCGGCCCTCAAGTCAAAACGTTTGCCCACCCTGGGATAGGCTGTCAAAAGGTCTCTCACATGTGGTATCCCCATACTTGGGAGAAGTAGTAGTATGTGATTTGGGGTGTTATTCCCTGTATAGCCATGTCATAAGTGAGCAATATGTCATTTAAGTGAAAAGTTTGTGTAACAACAAAAACAATTGAGTACTGTCCGTGATACTTTTTTTATTTGCACTAACATACAATTTTGAGGACCTCAAAATTGTATGTTAGTGCAATTAAAAAAAGTATCACGGACAGTACTCAATTGTTTCTGTCGCAAATACACTAATTCGGCTACAATCATCTGTAACAACAAAAAAAATTTAATTTTCCAAAAATTTGTAGCAAAAAAAATAAAATCTTCCATGGACTCAACATGCCTCTCAGCAAATTCTTTGGGGTGTCTACTTTCCAAAAAGTGGTAATTTGGGGGATGTTTGTACTGGCATTTTAGCACCTCAAGAAATGTGATATTCAGTCAGAAAGTAAAAGCTTCATAAATTCCAATATATACAGTATACCATAGTCTGTAGATGCTATAACTTTCACATAAACCAATTAACATGTACGTTATTTTTTTTTTTTGTTTACCAAAGACATATAGCATAATACATTTTGGCCTAAATGTGTTACTAAATTTGAGTTTATTGGATATTTTTTTATATCAGAAAGTAGAAAATATTATTTTCAAAATTTTCAGTCTTTTTTCATTTATATCACAAAAAATAAAAAAAACAGTGGTAATCAAACACCACCAAAAGAAAGTTCTGTTTGTGTGAAAAAAAAGGACATAAATTTAGTTTGGGTACAGCATTGCATGGCTGCAGAATTGGCAGCTGAAATGGAGAGTAGCAAATAATGACCTGGTCAGGAAGGAGGGAAAACCTTCCTGGGCTGAAGTGGTTAATATGAAATAGATTGTAATCACCCTATGAGTCCAGTTTAGTGAAGGTTCAGGCTGTTTGGAACCTCTGAAAATAATCGAGGAACTAAAGGGATCAGGTAGCCAGGGGCGGACTGACCATTTGGAAACTCGGGCACTGCCTGAAGGCCCGGGGTCAGTAGGGGGCCCCATGAGATGCCCCTGGTACCTTTTTCATAGGATTTTTTGAGTTTGGGCAAGGACTCAGGGGCCCCATGATCCCCTATTGCCCGGGGGCCCCATGAGTTGTCAGTCCGCCCCTGCAGGTAGCGAATCTTGATGGTGATTTTATGGCGTTCTCAGTAGTCTAAGCAAGGCCTAAGTGAATGATCCTTCTTTCCAACAAAAATTATTCCAGCTCCAACAGGGGATGATGAGGGATGGATAAAACCCTTTTCCAGGTTCTTGTTAATATACTGTCAGAGTGTTTTTTAACTCTGGCTTACGGGAAGATACAGTCAAAAGTAATCTCTGCACCTGGAAGTAGCCCAATGGGGCAGTTGTAAAACAAGTAAGGTGGACGTGTGTCTGATTTCTTTTTGTCGAACGTTTCCAGGAAGTCAAGTTATGCTGGGGCAACAAACAGGCTGCTGTTAGAGACCTGCTGAATGCTGAAACCCTTTAAATAGGGTGTTTGGCACCAGTTAAGGGATTGGATTTACATGCATGCATGCCAACACTCGCAGGTGCCTGCACAGCATGTCTGTGTGTGTGTGTTTTTGTGTAAATGAACATGCTTACAAAGGGTACCGGTGAAAGTGCCTCCAAAAAGACCAAAAATGTTGAAAAAAACTGTATTCTCTACATTCTAAAAAAATATCCAATAAACTCAAATGTAATCATACATTTAGGCCAAAATATATTCTGCTAAATGTCTTTGGTAAAAAAAAATCCCAATAAGTGTATATTTAGTGTGAAAATTATGGAGTCTACAACTATGGTCTATAAACTGCAATTGATGCAGATTTTACTTTCTGACTGCCTATCACATTACTTGAGGTGCTAAAATGCCAGTACAAACATCCCCCAAATGACCAGGGCAGTAACAAAAAAAAAAACCCAAATGGTCCCTTTTTGGAAAGTAGACACCTCAAGGAATTTGCCCCAGGCATGTTGAGTCCATGGAAGATTTTATTTTTTGCCACACGTATTTGGAAAATGCCAAGAATTGTTTTATTCTACCCAGTTGTCACTAAAATTATATATTGCTCACATATGCCTTGGGAATATGTGGGATAACACCCCAAAACACATTCTGGTCCAAACTGAACCACTGTAACTATGTATAAAATATACAGTACTATGTCAATTCTTCTGACTGTGGCTTGTGTCTTCTCATTTAGGGATGCTGGTGTGGCCTTCAAACTGTGCCTCCACAGGCCAATTTTTCCCCTCCATACCTAACACCTGCAGTTGTAATTATTTTTACAAAGACTCCTCCCGATGACTTGTGTCTCCACTTTAAAGCTTGTTGGTGCTGCCGTCAATAAATAGTGACACTGGCCACTTTTTAACCACTCAAACCTAAGGGCTGAAGAGCTAATGATTTTTAGGAAGACAGCCACCTCTGTCTTCTCTTTCTGTATTTTGGCCAAATTGGCTACCAAACTGGGGTGACCCTGGACAGTTGTACCCAACCAAAGCTAAGGGTTCTAGCTCTTTACTGACTATCCACTGTGCAATCCAACAAAGTTTTAAAATGGCAACCCTTATAAAATGTAACTACAAAATGATGGAAGCTAAAAGAAAAGCCGTGTTCCTTTTGTAGTGTGTTAGGTCCCTCTGTCCACTAACCAAGAAGTAATAGAGGTGATAAAACTATAAAAATACTTACAGTGGATTTTAAATTCAAATGTTGAAGATTGTACTCAGTTATAGAAAAGGGCTCTCAAGGGGTTATAAATTACATCTTAAGAGATCTTTAATGAGGATTTCAGCTTTGTGTTCCTACAACACAACAGACTGTCCTGAGGGAATGCCAACAATTTATATAAGAATAAGAATCAGCTGGTACAAATGTCTCCAGGTGAACCTGAGTATCATGTGCAGGCACAACATATATGTATTCCTATTGATAAATCCTCAGACTGATCATTTGATGACTGCTTTATGCTGATAAATTTAAAAAACAAAGATTATTACAAGGAATCTGTCAGAGATTACCTCTTGTGGGTCCATCAGACCATCCACTGACCACGAATACACTTTGTGTGCTCTTCCATCTGATCTCTCTGATATCTGCGGGACTGCCAACATCTTATATAAGAATACATCATTAGCTGCCAGAAATGTCGGCATGTAACCCTGAGTGTAATGTGTAGGCACTCCGTACAGGTTTGTCCTATTAATAAATCCTCAGATCTGTAATTTTATTACCGTTCTATAGTGATACATTTAAACATAAAGAAAAAAAATATAATATGAGGAATCAGACAGAGATTTCCTCTTTTACTCTTGTGGGTCTATCAGACCATCCACTGACCATGAATGCACTTTTTGGGCTTTTCCTTCTGATCTATCTGATGACTCTTATCACAAACCTTCTTATATTTTTCTTGGTCCTCACTGACCACCATCTGCACAACCCAATGTATTTTTTTCTTGCCAACTTGGCATTTGTGGACATGTCCTATTCATCAGTGACCGCACCAAGGATGCTCTATGACTTGGTCACAAAAAGCCAATCGATATCCATTCCTGCCTGTATATCCCAAGTCTTTTTCTACATCTCCTTTGCTTGCTCAGAACTTTTGTTGCTCTCGGCTATGTCCTACGACCGCTACATTGCCATCTGCCACCCCCTACATTACAAACTAATGATGTCTTGGAGGGTCTGTGCTCATATGGCCTCCATGGTCTGGGTTGCAGGATGTTCTGTCTCTTTGGTTTATGCTTTACTTTTGCTCAGGTTGTCCTTCTGCAGAACATCTTCCATCCACAACTTCTTTTGTGACCTTCCACACTTATATCAGATTACATGTACTGACCCCTTCATAAATATGGTGGCTCTATTCCTAGTAGGTGGTTGTCTTGGAGTAGGAATCGTTCTTTCTACCTTTCTTCCATATGTCTATATTTTTCAGTACCATCCTTAGAATCCATAGTGAGACTGGAAAGAGGAAAGCATTCTCCACCTGCACCTCACACCTCACCGTGGTCTTCATCTTTTACGGCTCCTTAATTTTTATTTACTTTGTCCCATCTTCCAGCAATATGTTCAGTTTAAACAAACTGTTTTCAGTCATATCTTCCCTCATTAACCCATTGCTGAATCCTCTGATCTACAGCCTGAGGAACAAAGATCTCATGGAGGCGCTTATGAGGACTTATTATCACTTAAGGTTGATCCAGGCATCATTCTGAAAATATTGTTTGGCATTGTTTTATATTTCTGGGCCATTTGTAGTCGACTAAACATTTCAGTATTGTCTTTCATAAAATGTAAACCTGTCAGGGTCTAAACTAAAAATTTCAGTATGCAACATGATGGTAGGTTCAGAATTTGGAGTAAACAACATGAAGGCATGGATCCATCCTGCCTTGTATCAACGGTTCAGGCTGGTGGTGTCATGGTGTGGGGATCCAGATTATCTTGGCACTAGCAATGTGGAAATAATAAAGTGGCCGGTGAGTGCAAATAACCAACAGGAAGGTACAGTAAGCGTCAGGTAAGGGAAGCAATTATTTGCAAATGTCACAAGATAGATAAATTGTTAGATAGTTAATCAGGTGTAAAAAGATACAGGTCCATCTCATTCAACCAACAGAAAAAAAAATCAATAAAAACAAAACCTTCGTATACACAATCCTATATTCAAAGATGATCCAGAGGAAGGCATAAAACTACCCCGATAAGGCACGGTCCAATTTGCACCAGTGGGGGGAAATAAGTCCTTCCTGTGTCCCCCCGGAGGCAATTGGAGATTCCATGGATCAACAATCAACAAAATATCCAATGAAATAATCATAAACAAGTACAGTGGGGATAGGAGAGGGTTGCATCCTTTCCACCATAGACTTCTAGGTGAACCTAATAGTGGACTTGGTCATGGATAGAATAATTAGTGGAGTCAAAAAGATGTGTGGTCCCAATGGGCAAATAAGTGTGTAAAGGGGTAGAGGGACAGGGAAAAGTGGGGGAGGGGAGGGGAGGGTGAAAGAGAAGGTGGTTGTGAGTAATGTATCAACAGTTGCCATAGAGTGAAATGTTTTCATGGGAATTTTTTTTTTAAGTTTGTTGCTTTTCATTATCTTTTCATTTGACATAATTTAGCTGAGTCTGTTTTTAATGGTTTCGAGGCTCTGACTATCATGAACTTGGTGGCTGTGAATAGAATATTGACAAGTGTTCAACACAAAAGACAACCATGAAGGGATTCTTGAGTAAAGCCTCAGAAGGATCTCTGTGAACGTTTATATGGAGAAAATGGCAAATAAGGCTGATCCCCAAAAATTAGATACTTTAGGGAAGTGGCACCAAATATGGGTCATAGGGACAATTTGGAAGCAACCTTTGAAGCAGCCTCTTAAACCCAACTGGTTGGTGTGAATCGTGCTAAACAAACAGAACTTAGTAAGAGTTCTCTAGGGCCAGGACGCTTCAGGAGGTTTTGGCAGGAGCCAATGAAGTCATCCTGGTGCCCAATTCAGATGTCCGTACATGTTGGGTATGTTCTTGTATAGCACCTGTAATAGTTTATACAGTGTGATGGCTTGGGGGTTTGTCGCTCAATGGTGGTGCTTTCCAGTGAGTTCAGTCCACTCCACACACAGTAATTATCAGATTTTCCCACACAGGGGTTCCACCATCAACATGAACACAAATGACATTCAGCCTCATGACTCTCTCTAGGAGTGCTGCTGGTCAAGCCTGTTGCCTTGGTCCTCCAGACCAGCCTTTTTCAACAAGGGTGCCCAGGCAAGGCCTTCAGGTTTCTGCAGGGGTGCCTTTGCAAAAACCTTTACGGTTTACCTCTCACGGTCAGCACTGGGGTCACATTAGCTGAGTAAGGGAGAAGAGAAACATTGGAATACTAGTCAGTAACAGTGTGCAAAGGAATATTTGCTTTGTAAGAATGAATCGCCTACGACGTTGGGTGTCCTACATGTGCGGATGTTGCCACATTATGTAAAACCTTTAGTTTAGTTTTTTTACACTTTAGAATGGGGGGGCCTCAAGATTGCCTATAATTTTAAAGGCTGGAAAATGGTTGGGAAACACTCTGCTCCTGACCATCACTGACACCTTCCACCTCCAGACACCTTCACTGTGAAGACACAAATTCTCTGACTCTGACTGGAAGGATTGGGGTCCCCCTGACCCCCTGTCTCTCGGGTTGGAGCCCTGACCTATTATCTGGTCCTCGGTTATATGGGCTGTGAACACCTGGACACTCAGCCTGCCGGTTCCTGGAAAGTCCCGGACACTGGGTTGGAGACTCCTTCCCTCTGAAAGCACTTTGGAGTCTTCCGGCTGCAGCCTTTGATTCAGGAATTATAAAACCAGAAGAAAGATGAAAAAATATCCTTCTCTGCTGAGAACTGACACTCTGGAACCCTGCACCCTGCATGCGTGCAACCCCTGTGTCACTTTCTCCTACATTTTCACATTGGCCGAGCCTCACACTGCCTCAAGATAACAATTGACAATCAATATTACACAGATTCTGTAAAAACAATGCTTCATTTATAGCAGGGGGGCTCGACCATTTGAAAAGTGAGGACCACGTAAGTGATTTGGTAACCAGTGGTGACCACAATAAAATGAAATGGTTCACAATTTAAATTTTTTTTATTTTGAACAGCATAATGAACATTTTTCTCCTGCAGCCGTTGAGTGCCGGAGGGAGGGAAAGGAGGAGGAACTGGCATTCAGCGGCTGCAGGAGGAAAATGGAGAGGAACCTGTATATGCTACACCTGCTGCCCCTCCTCTCCACGTGTATATCCTGCGGGTTTGGTGCACTTTCTGAAAACGCACCAAAACTCCTGTATTCAGAAAGTGCACCAAACCCGCAGGATATAATAGAAGTGTGCCTCCTTGGTTTGAGGTCAAGGGCCACATCAGAAGGCTCCGAGGAACACGTGGTCGACAGGCCACAGGTTGAGCACCCCTGATTTATAGTCCAAACCTTTAATAACACATCAATCAATAGATAAAGAGACTATTTATGGGATTCATTTTGCTTGGGATGAGATTGGAGAAATAGAATTATAAAGGGGACACAGAAGAAGAAAAACCCTCTACATGGGAAAATGGAAACAGGGAAGGGTTTGGAGGTACATATATATTGTCATAGTAAAAGGAAGTCTGTAAAAGACAATATTCATATTTCTGGTCCCTACAAATGCTTCAAATTCAAACATATATTGAAGCAAATCAAAGACACTGGGGCCCCTAAGTCCTCACACCTACCAGCCAATCAGAAGCAGGAGGAGGACTTACCTCTTACCTTGAGGAAGATGCTGCAGACAGGCCACCAAGTTGGCTAAAAACTAGACAAATGTTTGTCTTATCTCTGCATACAATTATCCTTTGGGTTTGGATTGAAATAGAATTCGGTTCATGCCTTGCCTCTGCGGTGAACAGCGGAATTAATCGAGGGGTTCTCCTCCATCTGCAGCATGAAGTGATACATTCAGCAACCGTGTTACTATTACTGCTAAATGTGACAGCTTCCTGCTCAGGCTGGTTGTTAGGAAGCCAGCGGCTTGAGACTTCCTAGTGACCAGTCATCCATCCCCACCAAGCCCATTCATCTGTCTGGGAAGATGCCAGCTGGCAGATGAATGTAAACAAAGGATGGGGATGGTGGCATATTCGATCAATAGCCATGGCCACATTTGGTCAATTATCTTTGTTACAAACCGGCTGCCTTCTGTTAGAAGAGTGGGTGATGTGTGGCAGAAGCTTCTCATGTCGGCCCTGAAATGCCAGGATAGTAGAATCCCCTTTCAACCCAAAATGGCCCCTTTTTTTAAAGTAGACACTGCAAGGTATTTGCTAAGGGGAATGGTGAGCATTTTGCAGATCTGCAAAATGCTTACCATGCCTCTTATCACATTCCTTGGGGTGTCTACTATCCAAAAAAGGGGTCATTTGAGGGGGGTTGTACTGTCCTGGCATTTCAGGGCCTCCAAAACTGTATTAGGTAGTGAGGAAGTGACATGAGGAAATATGCCCTTTGAAAGCCTGAAAGTGGTCATTGGATTTTGGGGGCCTGTATGTGGAGAGGCTGCCAAAAAGAAAGAAAACGAAAATGTATTTTTTATTTTCTTTTTTTCTTTTCCAAAACCCTGTGACAAAAATGGCATCTGCAAAATACTCCCCATACCTCGTGTCAAATGCCTCGGGGTGTCTACTTTCCAAAAAGGCATCATTTGGGGGGGAGGGAGTTGTACAATCCTGGCATTTCAGGGCCTCCAAAACTGTGAAAGGTAGTGAGGAAGTGACATGAGGAAATATGCCCTTTGAAAGCCTGAAAGTGATCATTGGATTTTGGGGGCCTGTATGTGGAGAGGTTGCCAAAAAGTCTCTCACATGTGGTATCCCCAAACTCAGTAGAAGTGGCAGAATATGTTTTGGGGTGTTATTCCACATATACCCATGGCGTGTGTGAGCAATATACCATTTAAGTGACAACTTTGTGTAGAAAAAAAAATAAATAAATACATTTTCTGTCACTTTGCAAAAATTTGTTGAAAAAAATAAAATATTCCATGGACTCAACATGTTTCTCAGCAAATTCTTCAGGGTGTCTACTTCTCCAAAAAGGGATCATTAGGGGGGATTTTGCACTTCCTTGGCATTTTAGGACTTCCAAAAGTGTGATAGGCAGTCAGAAAATAAAAGATGTGTAAATTCCAGTATATATCCCATAATCTGTAGACGCTGTAACTTTCACACAGA